AAGGCCGAGGTGGGTAGATCACAAGGTCAAGAGATTGAGACCATCCTGGCCAACATGGTGAAACCCCGTCTCTACTAAAAATACAAAAATTAGCTGGGCATGGTGGCATGCACCTGTGGTCCCAGCTACTCGGGAGGCTAAGACAGAAGAAACTCTTGAACCTAGGAGGCAGAGGTTGCAGTAAGCCGAGATTGCGCCACTGCACTCCAGCCTGACAACAGAGCAAGACTCCGTCTCCAAAAAAAAAAAAAATTAGGCCAGGCTTAGTGGCTCATGCCTATAATCTCAGCACTTTGGGAGGCTGAGGTGGGCAGATCACTTGAGGTCAGGAGTTCAAGACCAGCCTGGCTAACATGCTGAAACTGTCTCTACTAAAAATACAAAAATTAGCTGGGTGTCATAGCACTTGCCTGTAGTCCCAGCTACTTGGGAGGCTGAGGCACAAGAATCTCTTGAACCCAGGAGGAGGTGGCTGCGGTGAGCCAAGATTGTGCCACTGCATACCAGCCTGGGTGACAGAGTGAGACTCCATTTAAAAAATAATAATAATTAGAAAAAGAGGTCAGGCGTGGTGGCTGACTCCTGTAATCCCAGCACTTTGGGAGGCTGTGGCGGGTGAATCACCTGAGGCCAGAAGTTCAAGAGCAGCCTGACCAACGTGAAACTCCATCTCTACTAAAAATACAAAAATATTACCCGGTTGTGGTGGCAGGTACCTGTAATCTCAGCTACTCGGGAGGCTAAGAAAGGAGAATTGCTTGAACCTGGGAGGTGGAGGCTGCAGTGAGCCAAGATTGCACCACTGCACTCCAGCCATCTCAAAAAGAAAAAAAAGAAAGAAAGAAAAGAAATGAACTCTGTAGCCACGAGCCCTTGCTAAAGGTAGCCTGACCTACTCTGGGCATCTCGGGCTTTGGGGTTCAGGGTTCCAGCTTCTCCCTCACGATCCCTGCCATTCCCCAGGTCGGCCCTCCTCCACGCTGACTTCCGGGTCTCGCTCTCCCACACCTGTAAGAACGCTGTGAAGACAGATGCCCCTGCTTCTACCCTCTGGGATATAATGCGCTGCTGGGTAAGGGCAGGGCTGACCGCATGCAGGTGGGAGGGCAGGTGGTGGTCACCTGGAGGTCCCTCAGGCCCAGTATTCCCTAACCTCTGGCCTGTGCCCCAAGGAGAAGGAACATCCAGTGAAACGGGAGCGACTGTCAGAGACCAGCCCAGCGTTCCGTATTCTCAGTGTGGAGCCCAGGTAGGGACAAGCGCACGCACAAGGGGATGGGGCTGCCCACAGGTGCAAGCAGCACACATGCTTGCAGACAGCAGAGATGCTGCCCCACACAGACTCGTGCCCATTCGGCAAGTGAGATTCAAAATCTGCTGACTGAGGCTGGGCGCAGTGGCTCACGCCTGTAATCACAGCACTTTGGGAGGCCGAGGTGGGCGGATCACCTGAGGTCAGGAGTTCGAGACCAGCCTGGCCAACATGGTGAAGCCCCATCTCTATTAAAAATACAAAAATTGGCCGGGCGCGGTGGCTCAAGCCTGTAATCCCAGCACTTTGGGAGGCCGAGGCAGGTGGATCACAAGGTCAAGAGATCGAGACCATCCTGGT